GCGAAACGGCTGCAAGCAGGCTATGATTGTGGTATGTTATCATATTCTTACATGCCACTCGTGTCAGGATTATCATGTTCGCACCAGTCATACATTTCGTCATCCATCGATATCACGAACTCCAAATTTGGTATATGTGAAGCAAGCAAATGGTTCTAGCACGTCATGAAGGGCCCAAGATACTCAAATGTAGCGTTGACGCGATCGCACGCTGGGCACAGCAACGCAACGTTAGCAAACTGTGAGCACTCTACATTCTCACGCCAGGCGTGACCAGCGTTTGTCGGCGTGGTCCGACGGCAACCAGCGCGAAACGCGATGATGAATTTCCCGCCGATTCGTTACCCAGACAATATTGCGTCTTCCTCTTTTCGTGAGGGAGGGCGCCGGATGCGCTGAAACGCGCATGCGTCAAAGAAACGCAGCGCGGCGCGTGCCTGCGAGTATATGGCAGGACCAGCGCCTGGCGTGGCAATGCCGGCAAGACGCGACGAAATGAACGCCGGCGAACACGCACACCGCGTCACATCGATATGTATTGGCGCCTTGACTGTGGGATGTGGTCGCATTCTCTTATAACACGCATCTCATGATTATCATGTTATCACCAGTCACACACCTTCGTCATCCATTGGCACCACGTAATGCCAAACTTGGCATTCGTGAAGCTAATGAAACGGCCATGAGCGCATCATCAGTGTGGCATGTAGTAATGTTGTGACATGACATGCATGTCGTGATTATCATGTTTGGATGTGTCATTTACCTAAGTTGTCCATTCGCGTCACGTAATACCGAGTTTGGCACATGTGAAGCTATCGAAACGGCAGCCAGCGCATGAGCGTGGCACATAGTCACGTTGTTACATGACACGCCTCTCAAGATTTCTATGTTAGGGTCTGTCGCTTGTGTTCGCCATGCAATCATTCCATACCAAGCCAGTTTTGCAACATGCCATGTGAATGAAACCACCGCAAGAACTGCAGGACCACGAAATGTAACTTATGAGATTTATGGCATACATATTATGCTTTTCATGTTATGTATAATTAAATATATTCCTCATGCAGTCATTTTATGCCATACCAAGTTTAGTATTGATACCATTTTTGAAATGGCCAGGAGATTTAAATGTTGTAGGTGGCTAGACAGATAGATAGATAGATAGATAGGTAGATAGATAGATAGATAGATAGATAGATATGATCAAAGTCACTGAAGTTCACTGAGAAATGCTTTGCAATTAAAACAAAAGACAATGCAAGTGGGCCCAATGAGTGTGCTGTTCTTGCTACTACGCGTGAAACATTGCTTCGATATACAGTGTCTATGCAGCTTACAGTACCAATGAATAATTAAACCCAGCTTAAGGGAATCAAGCAGTGTTTTATGCTCCATGAAATGTGCATGTACTTTAGTATGCATTAAGTGTCGTATAAAAACGCAAATAATGAAATGGAATTGCAGCAGATACATTATAAAATTTATTGCTAACCTTCTCCCTCCGACGATGAGATATTGCTGGCTACGGCGCTGATTGGTACAATCAGACAGTGGAATTACAGGACCATATGCCTGGTCAAACATGTGTCAAAATTGTCAAAGCTCAATAATTCAACCATGCCTGTTCTTTTACGCAAGAATGTTTGCACCACGAGAATTAAAAATAAATGCTGCTTTGGTATGTTAGCTATTACGTTTTACAAAGAATATTTCTTGCCTTTTCTTCAGGGGCCAGACTGCCGACTGATCAACACAGAGTAAAGGCCTGCTAAAACGTGACGTGTTAGCAATGCATGGCGGACATTGCACAACTGTATAGTAAAGAAGACAATTTGCAGTGAATGCATGCAGCTGCACTGCGTTAGATAAGCTGTGGTGTCTACCACATTGATCCTATTTAGTATGTCCTACGAGCTCGAACTTTATCTTGACAGTTTGTCAGCTGCATATTCTTGATTGATGGACACCGTGTAGCTGCGCTCTAGTGCCTGCCACATTGCTCTTCATCAGCCACATGCAATAAAGGTTCATTTTGCCATTCGTAATTTCTGCTTTGTTTATTTGTTGATACATACATATCGTCATGTTAGTGTTTTCAGGATGAGGCAAGATCAGAAAACACACTTCTCTGATTATACAGAAAAGCTGCTCCACAAAAATCAATTTTGTTTTATATGTAGCAGTACCATTACCCTTTCACGAAACTGAGACGGCGTGGTTTCATGTGCAGACATGCTAATGTTGAAACAGTAGTGGATATTTTATTTACAGGGTTTGGCAGATATATCCACGATGACTGCAATACTCTTGAGCATTTTTTACGACTTTGTTGCACTCGTCTTCAATAAATTCGCGGAGAGAAAATACTCTGCTTATTGACGACACTTTAGAACCCATACGGTCGTTTCCAAGGCACAACAGTGCCAAAAGTCAAAGGCGGCTTCAATTTTATGATTTCCAATAGAATTGGAAATCTGCTATGTACGGCTGAGGCTTTGGAAAACAGCAAAGGCACCACGATCATTTTCAAGAGGTATTCCCAGCAATCATATTGTGCAAATAAAAAACAAAACACAAAGTTTTATCGTAAAATAAAAGCCAAAATGTCAGTTTATAAAAATATTTAAAAAAGCGTTCGTTTTTGTAAAGTGATGGGCATTTCTTTACTGCAACTATGAATACTCCCGTTATCTGGCGCTTTTCTCGGCCCATGCGTTTCACTCAAGCTAAAGGAGCATTTCGAAGGCGTCCCTTTGTGCGTTCAATAAACGCAGTGGCTCCTTAAGTGGAGGAGCACGCTCTAGAAGAATATTGGGCCATTCAGAAGGCGCTCGTCAAGGTTTCTCTAGTTTCACATATTCCAAATTTGGCATTACGGGACGTGAATGGACGTCGAATGTAAATGGCACATTCAAACATGAAAATCATAACATGAAAGCCCTATACGGGACAATTTACCTCCACCTCGTAACGCTGTGCCGATCTTAGAGTGACATATGAACCATCCTCATCCGTGCTTCGCATATCACTGATTCCCACTGTACATGGGATCTGCCAATTTTTTTTTGGGGGGGGGGGGGGGGAATGAGCGGAGACGTATTTACATTGGCCGCTTTTTTCTCTGCTGTGACCGTCGCACTCCGTGGCGAGATATGCATCCACCATTTCTGCATTTTCTGCATGACGTCTACCTTCTTGAAAGGGAGCTAGTTGCTTTGCTACATGCATCCCATAGGCACCCGACAGTGGACGAGAGGGCGTGACGGAGCTTTCAGGGCTACCTTAGCATTGTTGGTACCAACCACCAGGGATACTAAGAAAATGAAACGCTTGCTGAACATAGTAACACGCTGAGGGGTCAGTGCCCTTTTTGGCACGTTTTCGAAGAGCACTTCCTGGGCGCTTTCATAATCAGCCATGACCTCCTGCTCACAGCTAAGAATAAAATGACATGCACGTGCAAATCCGACTTTGCTGCGTTTACTCGCTAGGCTACGCATTGGATGGATGGATGGATAGATGGATGGATGGATGGATGGATGGATGGATGGATGGATGGATGGATGGATGGATGAATGGATGCATGGATGGATGAGTGGATGGATGGACGGACGGACGGACGGATGGACGGACGGATGGATGGATGGGTGGATTGGATTGGATTGGATAGGTGGATAGATGGATGGATGGATGGACGGTAATGAAGCAGAACAAACGAACGAAGACCTAACTGAAACGTGGGAGGCGAAGTTCGCCCTCGAGGACCTAGAAGACTAACAAAAACTCGTCGCCAGGGACAAGAGGGCAGTAGAAGCCAGAAAGTTCCTGGACTAAAGAGCCCTCCCACCTCAGGGTGACACCGGGCGTTGCTCGAGGCACGGTTTCAAAAATAAACGTTTACTTCCTTCCTTCCTTCCTTCCTTCCCTTTGTCGTCGTTGTGTTCTTTCGCGGGAAGTTGCGGCCCGGGTTCCGGTCAGTAAAGTAGGTTTCTGGTCTGGCTCCGCGTCTTCTCTGCGGCGTTCTGGGCCGAGTAGCCTCGATAACTCCCTACATTTGGCGCCAAACAGAAAGAATCTTGTCCCTGGGCCACGAACATAGAGGTACCTGGCAGTCTGTGACCATGGCCCAAACGATGCCGCAGATTATGCCCACTTTTTAGGCTCAAGACGTGAGAAAATCGGTATTCGACTTCATTGGCAATCTTTTCGTGTACTCGACCGTTAGCGGCTTCACAGGGTATGACGTGCTCAGCCGGGTCCTCTGAGTTTCTCGGCGTAGTACCCCAGAACGATGGCGGCGGCTTCAACCACCCTTTCAGTCCTGGAACCAGTTGCGGCATTCCGGGAAGAATTCCTACCAGTCCCTTACGAACACCGCACCAGGCCTGAGCTCAACACCCGAACGCAACACCTATCGGAGGTTCTGAGAGATTACGTTTGGGCCATACAGAAGCTCTTCCATCGGGTGGACCTCACTGCACCTGAGGCTGTTACGGCCTCTCACGTAATATAGCGATGCCAACCCCGTTTCCAGCTGTACCTGTTGAGGGTCTCCTTTGCTTCATTTGAGCAGCTTGCCCGTTTCGCTCCAAAAGTTGGGGAGGCCGTTTTCCGGGAGCACCAGCCGCCATTTTCTGACGTTCCTCTCGAGCCCCCTTGTGCCTCACCATCTGTCTCCGCCTCACGACTACGAGTGAGCTACTCTTGGTACGAGCTGGTACGAGCATGGTAGGAGGGAGCCGTATTTTCTGGCCGTGATGATCGTCGCCGAGAAGGGAGGAGAATTTCAGGGAGGTAATAGAGACCAGTGGGGATCGGACCAGAGAGCAGAACGCCGCCGCAGTAGGCGAGTCAGCAAACGCTACATCAGAGGACAGCGTGAGGCAAGCCAGCGCTACGGCCAGAACAAGGGCTGCCGATGGCGCTAATGGTGACGTGTGAAAAAGAAGAAGAAAAAGAACAGAATAGATAATTACGTGCGGTGCATTATTGGGATGATGGCAGACCAGTATTGCAGCAGCGCTGCTGAGGAGGAAGACTACATGGCTGCCGAGGCCGAGAAAGACGCTGAAGGAAACTTGGACGGCGCTGTGGACACGGAGGAGGTGTGAAATTAGTTGACTAAGGAAGACGAAGAAGGGTGTGCCGACGAAAGTGCGGAGAACGCGAACGCTGAGAAGTTGAAGGGGGTGAAGGAGGAGATCGTTGAGGAAAAGGCCGAAGAATCCGAGGAAGGCGAAGGAGAGGCCGAAGAGACTGAGCGTTGGGATGAGGAGGTTGGTGAGCACGACAGTGAAGCTATTGACAAGTCGCAGGATCTGAAAGAGGCTGTAGAGTTTCGGGATCGCGAGAAGGTCGCTGATGCAGATGCCGGAGAAGACTGCGTGGAAGGAGAAGCCGCTGAAAACTGGGAATGAGCTGCCGACGGTGAAGCCCAGTATTACAAGTAGCACGATGGCACGCCGCAAAACGCTCAGTGGGACGAGGACATAAAACGCCTGGACGCTGATGATGCAGAGGTCGCTCATGACGTGGACAATGCTGATGGCATGTGCCAGGAGTGTGCTGAAGGTGGCAGAAAGGAGCAGGACGAGATGGTGCGTGACACGCGGAACTACAGAACGAAAGACAGTGTCCTTGTAGGCTGATGGCACTGATAACGAATGAAACACGGCGACGGTGGCATCTTGAAAACGTCAGCGCTCATTCACGGCGACGAGCTCGAGAGCTACTTCAAGGGTAAGAAGCATCAAGTGAAGGTTGAAGAATTCGTCAGGCAAGGAAAGACACTAAAGCCAGACAGGAATGGTGCTGGAGCGAAAGGTTCAAAGGACGATGGCGAGTGTGTCCACTCTAGCGCTTCCACCTCGCGCACAAAGCAGCAGGCCAGCCGTTAAGGCGGAGGGACCCACTTGGACAGCACGAGAGGGTGGCTGCTCCTAAGGTCCCAAATAGAGTTGCGGGCTGACTGCCCCGGCATGTGGGATTGCGTGCCACGTGCGCTCCGTCATGGTCAGGGCTAGCAGCTACCACATCACGTCCCGCTTTTCACTTTCGCCTTAGGGAAGGGGCCAGTATGAGAGCGGCGGCCGTAAGCCTGCCAATAGCAGAAGGAAGAGGAAGACAATGATCGGGTGTGCGCTGAGGGGCACACGGCAGCCGCTGGCAACGGGCAGTTGCGGCCCGGGTTTCAGTCAATAAAGAAGGTTCCTGGTCTGGACCCGCGTCTTCCCTGCGGGATTCTAGGCCGAGCAGCCCCGAAACCCCCTACACCGTCAAAAGTGTTCGATGCTGCAAACAGCGTTTGCGATTTGTATGTGCACCGTGTTCGTAGTTTATTCTTGAGAGTTACTGAGTGATGACACAATCTAGGGTGATAAGCTCTATTGCCTCTTTATCGCCGTCATGCCACATCCTCTGCCCCGTGTGCGCCGGTTTGCTGCTGGCATGTGCTGTGGTGACCGCGACACGTCTGAAGTGCTCAATCACGTCCCCAGTTGACGTAGTTTGCTCACGAGATACCAGTCGGGGTATGAGCCTGCGATGTTCTGCAGCGGTGCTAGACGGAAATGTGTTACTAAAGATGAGAGTCTTTTTTGGGGACCTTCGACGCAAAATTTTAGTCTGTCTGTCTGGCTGTCTGTCTGTCTTTCTGTCTGTCTGTCTGTCTGTCTGTCTGTCTGTCTGTCTGTCTGTCTGTCTGTCGGGCTGTCTGTCTGTCTGTATTTTTGTCTGTTTGTCCACGCTTAACAGTACCCTAAACGACACCAAAGTGGCCAAACAATACTCCAAACGGCCGACCCCATCCGCAGCGCCCACCAATATTGCTCAAGATTCAGCCTTCATACTTGTGTGATTGTCAAATAAAAAGCAATATTGCGATATCTAAGGCCCGAGAACAACAAGTCAATATTTTGTATGTGTGTCCCTTACTGAAAAGCATACATAAGTAATTATGAGGACCATAGCATTTATCCTGTTGTGCTGACCTGGCAACGCTAGCACGAAAGGGCAAGTGTTTCCAACGCCTTGCTGGATGGATGGATGTATGTATCCAGCTGGGCCCTTCAGATCGGGTGGTAGCTCACGCCGCCTCGCCATAATGTTAGGTACTATCACTGTGTGGTCAAGGATTAAATTTCATTTGCGATTGTAGCCACCAATGAGTTAGTCTCCTCTTGGCTATTTCTATCAGTTTAAAGTCTATTTTGCCTTCAGTTTCCGTAAACCCGAACGCTTTGAAAAATTCGGCACCATTATCTTCGACTATAGGGCAGAGCGCTTTACAGAACATTATCAAATGTTCAGCCATTTCCTCCTCCTCTCCACACGCAATACATACCGAGTCTGTGCCTTCGTATTTTGCTCGGTACGTCTTGGTCCGCAGTACTCTCGCTCTAGTCTCGAAAAGCTAAGAACTACCCCGATAATTATCGTAGATCTTTTCCCTTGACATTTCCTGCCTCAAAGTTCTGTAGGCCTCCAGTGATGATTTCGTAAGGATTCCTATCTTCCACATGTCTCTTTCTGTTTTCTTCATGTTCTTCCTAACCGATATTTCCTTTTGGCTTGGTATTACGCTGTTGTCTAAATACCTGCTTTAAAGTTTTCGAGTTAGCTCCCTCCATTTAGTATCGACATTTTTCATGTACAAGTAATTGAAAACTTTCCCAGCCCAACGCACCTCTCCCATTTTAAGTGTGAATACACTTTATAAGCGACCCCAAACCATCCACTGCCGTCGGCGCCGTCCGCAGTCTTCTCTCTATCTTTAAAAGAAAGAGGACTTGGCGGGCCGCAGCGCGACGCTCTACCGAATAAGCCACGGACGCGACGCTGATATTGGTGTCAGTAACGCGCCTTATACCCCCTCCCCCTTCGCTCGCTCCTCCGCTCTCCTCGTTCGCTGCAGCTGCGCGCGCACCCCTCTCTCTCGCGCGCCCGCCTTCTCTCTCAGTCTCCCGTCGAGAGCGGGTCGTGAGGGCGAGTAAAGTTAAAATCCGTTGGCATTCGCCAGTGAGTTAACGTAAACTGCCCGTGTGATCAAATTGCGATTCCCAGGAACCATCACACCATAAAGGCACCATAGTGTGATTAATAAATATAATAGTGCGAATTAATAAATACCCATCATAGCATCACCCCATGTATTCGCACTTAACCATGTTCACCCTCGGGGAAATGCTTGGGAGTTTTTTCTCAATCACTCCTCAAATTCCATCCTGCTGCCAGCTTCCCTATGGTGGTGGCAGCTACCCTTCGCCTTGCGTTCTACACGCTATCACCTCCGAAACGGGCGTGCAGGGCGTGCGCTCTTCGTTTTTCAAGATAACTGTGAGACAGCGCTCATGTCTCACTTGTGACGTGACTTGATACGCTCCTTCGCCTCCGCTGCACGCTCAAGGCACTCTAACGCAGTGCCTCCAGAATACCAATAACCAATTTTCTTGCGCAAAACATCAAATAAACGTTTTGTTCCCTCACTCCAAACGCAAGACTACCGTCTTTCGACGACATTCGCAGTGTAACATGCATATACTGCGCCAAATTTTGGCGGCGTGTTTATGCTCGGACGTGCGCCGTACACGGATGCTGTCAGTACAGGTTTATTGTGTATCATGCATCTCAATACAAAAACTCCATCAAACTAGAATTTCCTGTTTAGCTCGTGCATGGTTTCTTTCAAGTTTTTTCTGCACTTTAAACGCTCTGCTTTCATACAGCGCTGTGTTAGATATGCACAAGAATGATGTAGTCATAAACGACAACTTCAGGTAGCGTTTATGTCTAACGTGGTAAAATAGTATGCACAGCAAATATCAGATAAAGCAAGTCGTAATGCGAACGACTTCTTCATACTCCACAACTACAGACACGGCATTTCTATAGTCAAGGTGAAAAAAATGCTGTGGTTCCCTTCAAAACTTCAAAGTGCAATCGAAGGCTATATGCATAAAAGAGAAATGAAAGTACAACTAACCAAAGTTGTGTGTTCATTATAAAGTCTGTTAACGTACAAGTATCACAACAACTTCTGTCAAACTTTGATTGCAGTTATGTTGATATATATGTTACAAAAGCCAACCGAGTTCCCCAAATTGGAGCTTTCAAATACCTTGAAGATTGGTTTTGCTCATTAAATTGTTGGCATATCTTTTTGCCATGAACCTTCAATTCAATACAAACAAAATTGACACATATTAACCAAACAGTTTACTTGGAGGCTTCTTTTAGTACTTTTTGATTACGAATTCTGTTTGCACCTGGTGCTGGATACTGTGTCATAAGTATAGTCGTGCCAGCAAAATATTACCATGAGCTGTTTTGTGCTGTCGCTGATAGGCTGAAAAAAGGGCACTTACAATAGACGTCTTCAGGTGTGCCCAACTTGAAACATGACGACCACATGAAGTGACAGAGCATGAGCTGAGGCATAGTCACCATCTGCATAAAATAAGGTTATATGCATGTTGTTGTGATTGGAGTATGAAAGATAATCAGCATTTGTGGAATTACTCATCGAAAGACAGCAAGGCAGGGCTAGGTTTTGGAGGTAATATCACCCATGGAAAGGCAGAAATTGTGATTTTTATGTGAGTGTCAAGTGCTGTCGATTGTGTGTGTTTCACGCCAATGTTCGCTTTTCAAGTAATCCAATGCAGCTGTAATCTACATATGACTCATGCTCATTGAACACAAACGTGGAATGTATTGGATTGATGCATCGGTTTATGCCACTTTTGTGCATTCAGTGTCCAGAGTACAAAGTGAAATGCATATGTGTAATTGCCTCTTCATCGCTGTCATGCACGTTTTACTGTTTCTGAGCCCTTTTGCCACTCGTTTTGCTCTGTGGTGAAAACATAGCTCTCGAGAGACTGATAGTGTTGTTGGACGTATACCTGCAGTGTGTTTCAGCAGCTTTAGGTGTTGTTTTATGGGTTGTACATCATGCAATATATTCATGTTACTAATTAAATCATGCAGGCAATCAGTCATGTGTTCTTGGTGAAACTTTAACAGCTAGATTTGTCTGCTTCTTTCACGTACTATCTGTCTGAAAAGTTAAGTTACCTGTGTAGTTCTTCAAATCCATCTTTTGGTGAGGTGCAACTACAAAGTTGCTTAATTTGCGTGTTCTGACAGGTTTATACACTACTTGTAGGAGCGTTTAATTTGAATCTATGGTGCCTTCATTTTTTATACGTAGAAGTCAGTTTGAACTGGACGATATGCATGCATATGGTTTTGTGTTCAGACTAAAACGATTTGCCCACTAAAGAATCATAACTTCTCGGTTCTTGCAGATGCGTAAATGTGTTTGTATTAAGTACAGGCATTTGTGAGAGCAGATTACTAGTGAAGACATATTTGGTCGGAACTGTGAAGTTGATTTAAATGTTTTACGTATCTTTTT